TACAACTGCTTCTATTTACAATTTTATTATATACACGATTCTATTCTAAGGGTAAAAAAAATATTTTTTGTGGTAACAAATTCTGTACAACGTGTTAAAAACCTTATCTAATTCTCTTTCTAAAACCTCCGAAAAATTTTCCTTAATTTGGTCTTAACCCTACCTATTTCGATTTGTCTTATTCTGTCTTAAAACGCACTTGTTGTAATTTGACTTCAATTTCTATACCGTCCCAAGACTATTCGTCACTATCACAGTACTCTCCGTTAGTGTCCTAAGACCCTTGTACCAAGACCACTGTTCCAAGACTAGTGTCCCAAGACTACTGTCCCAAGGGTAGTGTCCCAAGACCAGTGTCCCAAGACTACTGTCCCAAGACTAGTGTCCCAAGGCTAGTGTCCCAAGACTACTGTCCCAAGACTAGTGTCCCAAGGGTAGTGTCCCAAGACCAGTGTCCCAAGGCTGGTGTCCCAAGACTAGTGTCCCAAGACTAGTGTCCCAAGGGTAGTGTCCCAAGACCAGTGTCCCAAGGCTGGTGTCCCAAGACTAGTGTCCCAAGACTAGTGTCCCTAGACCACTGTCCCAAGACTGTCCCAAGACCACTGTCCGAAGACCCTGTCCCAAGACCACTGTCCCAAGACCCCTGTCCCAAGACCCTGTCCCAAGACCACTGTCCCAAGACCCTGTCCCAAGACCCTGTCCCAAGACCCTGTCCCAAGACCCTGTCCCAAGACCACTGTCCCAAGACCACTGTCCCAAGACCCTGTCCCAAGACCACTGTCCCAAGACCCTGTCCCAAGACCACTGTCCCAAGACCACTGTCCCAAGACCCTGTCCCAAGACCACTGTCCCAAGACCCTGTCCCAAGACCACTGTCCCAAGACCCTGTCCCAAGACCACTATCCCAAGACTGCTCTGTCCCAAGACTTCTTCGGTCTTGTCCCAATACTCGTCACGGAGTGTCTTCCTCGTTGTAGGGTCTTCTTGAACCACCGTACCTTGTACCACCACTCAAGCTCTAGTAAAATTTTCCCAAAAACCCTCTCTTAAAAGCCAAATGCTGACCCCCCTCTTCTTTTTGGTTGTTTCTATTTCAATGTAGGTGCGCAGGTATCTTGTGATCACCTGTTCGTATAAAACCAAACACAAATCCTCAATAAAATGCAACAAAAAATTTTAAGTAAGAAAAATAATAAAAACAGAAAAATGAGCCCACCTAAAATTTAAAGGTGACCAATGTCTACCTTTCGTCTAAAAAAAAATGTCTGGTACCTAATTGCCACGCGTTTTCCTCCCCCCACTAGTGATCTTATGGGGTATCACAAAAGCTGTCTATATCCGGTCCCCCCTACCAAACCAACCAGCGTACCAGCCTTAACTCGAGTTGGATTTTGGATCTCCACCTAATATTACCAACGCGTATTAATTTCTAATGTAACTAAGTCAACGATGTCGACTAATTAGTTACTCTAATTTCCCCCTTTTTGCAATTTACAACCGCCAACCTCTAGCCTAACCAGTCCCCCTTCTAACCTCCCCCCTTTTTAGCCCCCCTTCTTAAGCCTAAAAATTACTTTAAGCGCCGGGTGCTAAACCTCTCAAGAGAAAACCGTAGACCTGTTTCCAGGCCTGCTCAAGTAAAAACGTTCCTCAAAACTGGGGGATTTCGCTTATCCAATTTTACACTTATTTCCTATAATGTAATGTGGATTCTAACGATACCCGTTCTGCCCAACTTGAGAACTCGAGAATTGCCAAATCCTTCTTGGCTGCTTTCCCACTCGACTGGTCACCTGTTCCAGTCCAGTCTCCTATTGGTTCAGCCAAGTGTCCCTGAACCACTTTCCCACTCGGCTGGTCACCTCTTCCAGTCAAGTCTCCTATTGGTTCAGCTCAAGTGTCCCTGAACCACTTTCCCACTCGGCTGGTCACCTCTTCCAGTCAAGTCTCCTATTGGTCCAGCTAAGTTCCAAGCTATCTGAAAACCCTTGACAACGCCCCACTTCGGGCACTTTATTCAGTTTACTGGTTTAAATTGCTAGGTTGATCGAACCGATCGAACTTGTAAAACAGTATGGGTATACTATTTAATTAATATAAAGGTTTGATCCAACTAATCTGGTGTCAAAGTCACTGTCTTTTTTCGTTTTATGGTTTTTGTTCCTTTTTCTATTCTTTTTTGGTTTTTGTTTTGCTTTTTGTCTTTTTGCTCGTGTTTTTGTCCCCCTAGTTGCCCCCCTTTACTCGGTTAGCTAAGCCTCGTTCGGAGAGCGTACCAGGAAATTTTCTCGAGTTTTCTTAAAAAGCTATCACGGTACAACCGGAAGGTTTGCACGTTCCTGTCGAACCGTACCGCCGGTACTCTAGAATGGGCATTCAGCCCGAAGCTGTCTCAAGTGGGTTCGACTCCGTAGTCTTGATGTCGTAAACACCCAGGAGCGCCATAAAAACACTATGTAACATTCGTCTACTACAGTCACACATGAGGCTTAAGAAAAATAGGCCCTATAACTATTGGCTCAGGAGTCAGGGACACTATCTCTTGTGTTTTTCCGCCTCAAATCAGTCGGAGCCAATTCGGTTCGCTTGTGACATGAGACTACGACCCGTTACAGCTTAAAGGCTACTACTAAAATATCCCCCCACTCTAGAATTAGAAACGTCCCCATACTTAGGTCTCTAGATACCCAAAATACATGAACGCCGTTAAAAACCGGGTTGGAACAATCCGTTAAGTTACTTTTTATTAGACAGTGGAACTTTGATCCATTTCAGATGGATCAACCTAAAACTCGCCTTACCTCAACATAACAATTATAAAACACACTCTAGAATTTTAAATTAAGGACTCACATGTTGATGCGCTCAAGCACAGGAAGTAATTAAATGGGTGAGCAACTCTAGAATTAACTAAAATAACTAGATAAGTTCAATGTTTATCAGTTTGAATGGTAATGGTAAGTTTGAACTCAAGAACGAAGTTTTATGTGGACCATTGGGACACTCAAGCTGTCCACCTTTCCGTCGAAGGTTCACTCTGGTCCAGTTCGAATAATTACTCTCTCGGGAATACTCTGTCTTCTATTTCAGATAGGACAGCTCTACTCTTGTTCACTATGATGGAAATTGCGAATAGCAATTTCCCACTCGTTTTTATATGACAACTTTCCCGCGTGTGTGTCTTAATCGTTCTGATTTCTTTTTCTGATTTTCAGTTCTCGCGAGAAAATCATGCATGACATGTTCCATTCGAAATTTTAAAAATTTAAATTTCACTCCAAAATCAAGTGTTTTCTGCTCTTCTCAAGGTCAAACTTCCAAATATGACCGACTGGCACAGTAGCCTCACTTATATTTGGCTTAATATCAGTTTTTTTTTTCAGCATCTTCAACTACTGATGAGCACAATGAAATCCAGAAACCCAAACAAGGTTTTCCATGTGAAAATTTACTAGCTACGATTTGTATAACTTCAGTTCTTCGTTTTTTTTCTATCTATTTGGCTACAAAGGCTTAACTTTAATTTCTATTGGTTCAGTGACCTCATATTGCGTCGTTAGATGTGCGAAAAAAGTTATGCGTGGGTGTTTTCAAAGGAAGGTTGAAATGGCTTTCTTCGCGAGTTTGTTTATAATGAAAACGGGTGTCTGCTCAAGTTTTGTCGGCTTTGTTACTGCTTCGTAAGGTCTTTTGCGAAGGTAATCTGAAATCCAGTTGTCTCACTTGGCAGTTTTCTCTCAAAAAGAACTTGTTTCTAGACAAGAATGTGATAAACATGTGAAAGTTTTGATAAATGTATCTTTTTCGACTTGAAAAAATGGATGCAATGGCTTCGTCTCTTTTTCGATCGGCTACCATGACATAAAATTTTTGGCTTGTGTCGGACTTCACGCGAAGCTATGCTTCGCCTCTGTGTTGAAATGTGCAGTTTGCTCAAAATATATGTTTTCAAAGTTAAAAATAAGCAAGCTAATGAAAACATTGTCTTGAATGGTAATTAAAAAGCTATTGTTTTATACTGGAGTTCTACGGGTACTGAGGTTAACCTATGGTTGCTCTGTAATTTTCGATCTTAACGAAGCTTAAGCGGTTCACTCAGTAGATTGCTTATTACCCTTGCGATAGCAAGGGTATTGCAATCGGGCACTAGACTTTTTCCCCTTAAACAACTTTGTCCACAGGACTCATTTCTGGACTCTATTTCATATAGACTTAGTGGCCTAAATTCAAGTGGTTTCAAAAGAAATATAGTTTTTACGTTCTTCTCTGGATCGCACAAAATGCATAAAATCTTATTGGAAATTATAGATCAAGTTTTTCATAACAACATTTTTTTTGGCTTTTTTGTTTTTCTTTTCTTTCGACTTGATAAGTTTCGGCCTATAATATATCAGTTTAATGGCCTCATATTGCGTGTCTGTGTTTTGAGAGTGAGGGGAACTTAGTAATATTACATTAGTCTTAGAAATTTGTTTTTTTTGTGATTTTTCTTTTCCTTTTTTTCCGGCTTGATAGGTTTTTGGCTTATGTTTCTATCGGCTTATTCGCCATGTATTGCGTCGTTTCGCGAGCTGTGTATGCGTTTTAAGGGTAAGGGTGACTTAATAACTTTTTAGTAGTCATATTTTTTTTCGACTTTGTTTCTTTTCTCTTTTTTTGGCTTTTTAGATTTTGGCCAATGTTTTATCGGCATAGTGGCAGCATATTGTTTCATTTGACGCGTGGGGGAGTGTTTTTTGGTTTGTTTGAGGGCGTGGGGGACTTGATAATTAAAAAAATTGGCCTAAAGGGTTTCTGCTAAGGTTTTTCCGGCTTTGTTACCTCGTGATAACTTTTCTTTCGATGATAGTTTCAGATTCTTACCAAGCCTTATCGGTAGATATAGTTCAATGTTTTCGATTTTTTTGACTTAGTGGCTTTCGTGTTTTGTGTCGCAAGTGGCACGAAGCTCAGCTTCGCGTCTGTGTAAAAAGTTTTCCTGATAACTAACTATTGTTTAGGTATCAAGCAAGCCTGAGCCGAGCAAAAAGCCTGAAGCTGCTAAATCAGATAAAACAAAGACTGCGAAGATCCCATTACCTGCGATGGATCCAGAGGAAGACGATGATGAAGATGAAGGAGACGAAGTGTAAGGCATATATTTGAATTAACTAGGAAAAACTAGAAGATCACTGAAAGTCGGGAGGAACTTTGTTTTCGGGTGTGTTCTAGTTTTTTTTAAGAGTCGATGAACTGGTTTGCAATGATGAGTACCATTGCAGATGATTCGATTTTCTGACGATGCACACAAATTAGTGCGAAAGCACTTAATTTAACATTGATAGTATGCTCTGTTTTCGAACAGCAGAAGGGCACAAAAAATTTGAACGACTTTGAGTTTTGAAAAAGGAATTGAATTTTCAGATTTCCCACCAAATTAAATAGATCTGGCTATTCTTTTCCTACTGACTTTTTTTTGTTTGTTGCCTATGTTTTTGTTTTATACACAATATCAGGTACCATCAATAAAGGTCGGAAGGGATCGAGTGATATATCATTGAAAAGATCCCGCGGTCGTGATTCGAACCCTAGTCGAAATTGTTCAAAAAATCCTGTGTATAGAAAAACTGGCTTGAAATTTTTGGTTATTTACAATTTCGAGCAAAAAAACAAGTAAAGCTTTAAAAATGGAAATAAGACATACAAATTTAGTTTTACTCAGTGAATTTTTTTTTCTAAGCTTCTTTACAGCAAAAAAAAAAATTACATGTTTAAAGATTTTCGATGTTTATTCCAATTTACAGTGAGTAAGACAGGCGAGAAGCACATACTTGAACTATGAAAGTTTTTTTAGGTGCTCGTTTTGACTTCAGTCGAATAATCAGCTATGTACTAAGTAATTTATTGTCATAAATAACTCTTATTCTGGTCTAAACTCGCCTAAATTTTTAAAAGCAACGTTTTACAGATAAAAAATAGTGATTTGAGGTGTATGTATGTAAAGTTTAAATATCGGCCTGAAGTCCCTTCGGCTTGAAGTCCCGTCGGCTTGTTTTCGTAGACCCCTAAAAATGATCCCTGCAAGACTAAGTAGCTTTTCTTTATTTCGAATATTGCTCCTTTATAACCATGGAACTCCAACTTTTCTAGTGTTTGATGATCTAGTGTATCGAACGCTTTCTTAAGGGCAATGGAGATCACATGACCTGTTAATTGCTTAGTCGGAATCCTCATAAAGTCTGTAATTAAAGTTTGACTTCGCTTCTAATCAAGACATTCTCAAAAATGTTGCTCGGCGAACTTAAAATACTTGAAATTCTAGAATTTGATGCTCATTTTTCCTTGTTTCACATAAAAAAACGAATTTTGCATTTTTCAAGACAATCGGGAAAGGTGCGCTTAGCGAGTGGCTTTGATTAAGTGATTAATTGTGATATGCTGCTTTCTTCGAGATGCGAAACCTGAAAAATATTCACTGTTTTAATCATCTTTTCCATTTGTTCTCTGTTGGCTATATTTTACGTTGGTTGTAATTTTACTAACTCCGGTTTCAGTATTGTAGTTCTTTTTTTTGTTTTCATTTCTTTAGTCGGCTTTAAAGGTTTCTGTATAAATAGTATCGGCATGACGACCTAATTTTGAGTTGTATGATAAGCGAAAACAGTTTTTGAAATTTACCAGCTGGAACCCGGATCTAAACTACATTTTATTATTTATAAATTAGATATTTTACCACTGGAAAATATTTAATATTAACCAATCACAATCCATCCAACTAACAACCCACTTATTTGTAAAGGCTGAAATTACTTGTAATTTCAGCACCAGAGAGATTTGAATTTAACTTAGAAATTAGTTGCCTCTCCTCGAGATCTTCAGCAGCCGCAATAAACCAGTATATTCTAGATCTATTGAGCCTAGCAGAGACTAGTTAAACAACCTGAGACTAGTAAATATAAGAGTAAGATTAGGATCGGTATTAGACTAAGAAGTTGCACGAATCTATCCGGCCGAAAATAAGATAGCGTGACGAGCAGACGGTGTACCCTATCCGAAATTACTCTATGAGTTAGACTTACATCTTAACTCACAGCTACATATACAACGCCAAAAGCAATATATTTTGTCTGGTGGGAGATCCTAAAGAGCAGTACTGCTCATCGAGTAGGATATCCTGGAGGGTAAAGGGAAGACAGACAGCATCAACTCAACAAACAAATTAATTTAATGGCAGAAGTTAAAGTTTTTAGTCTAAATGTTTTCATGAGGGGGGCTGAGAATTTTGTTACTCAACTCAGATAATGCCGGTTTTGTTACTGCTTTTTAAAGTTTGTTTTGTTGCTAATTTAAAGCTCAATTGTCTTGTGTTGAATATATTTCAATTGTAAGTTATTGAAAATAAAGGTAAATATTTTGTTCGAAAACTTTTTCGAGTTTTCCCTAAAAATCGTCGTATTTTTTGTCTCTTTTACTGTCGGTTTGTTTGTGGTGTCATGTTTGCGTTGTATCGCTAGTGGCGCGAAGCTGCGCTTTACTTCTGTATTTTATGTTTCTTATAGAGGTTTTGTATCTCGACGTTTATATTGCAGTTTTCAAAAATGTATTTTGTGTTTTTTTTGCAATTATCCGTTTTTCGAATTTGTTTGCAAAAATGTCTATGACTTATAGGTCGTGTTGTTTTTTTGCTGTTTAAGTTCTGAAAAATTGTTTACACCCAAATTTGATTTTTGTTGTTGATTTTTGTCAGCTTTTTATGTGGTGAATTTATGCTCATTTGCCTTTACATGGAAAGCAGATTACGGTCTACAGTAACGAAAGAGTAAATTGCGCAAACTCTTCTGCGAATTAGTTTCGAAAAGGAAGTTTAATTTTAAGATGTTATGCTTTCAGGTTTTCAAATTTGGTTATTTTTATCGAAAAAGTGTCAATCTTAGAAGATTCTTGAATTTAAGAGATTTGTTATATATTCTTTTTTTTTCTACTCGAATGTTGGAAAGTTTGTGAGTTGTGACCTAGTTAATGTATCTGGTGAGAAAGTTGAATTTTGTGGACAGGTGGTGACATCACTGTTTGAATTGAATTACTTACTGCAGCCAGGTGCCAGAAACGCTGTTACTGTGAAGCAATTCCAATTTGATTTTGAATCGAAAGATTGATGTGTGCTCAACTTTCAAAGGCCGTCCTTTTTTAATTTCAAGAGAAAGCTAAAAAAGACAAGAATTAATTTTAGCTGTTTTTCCGAATAGGTACTAGCCATCGAGTAATTGTATGGTTTCTATTTTAGACCGATGCTAGAAACAAACAAAGATGGAGAAGGTGGATGATGACGAGGAAGAATACGAAGAAAATGTCGATGAAATTAAGAAATTGAAGGCAAAGTTGGATTTGGACGACTCAGAAGATGACGATGAAGATGATGATGACGACGATGATGAAGACATGTTGGAGGAAGAAGACAATGATGAAGGCAAGTATAATAAATGTTGACACTCGACTGATTACACAAGCAAAGCTTGTGTGATATTACGAACTCACTTTGTTTTCCAACCTAAGTCGCAAATATTAGTGCTCTTTTTGCAGGTGCTCTTTTTTGCAGAATATGCATAAGATCAATAACCAGCGATTAAGTACAGCAAATGTTAAGGATAATAGAACACACTATTGTATTACAAATAGCACTTAAGCTTCATGGTGTTATGGTTCTTTAGCGTTGAGGTACGGAAGAAGACCAGCAGCAAAATGTGAGGGTTCGAACCTCAGCAGGGTCGCAGGTTTTTAAGGAACTTTTTCGTTTACTAGTTAAAATGCGTCCGCTCTATAGATTGAGGCATGTTAGTTGATAAACTTCTTTTCAAATTGACTGGTACTGCTAATGCGTCATAGTTGGCTTGCGTCACTAAGCAATTATGTAGACTCATAATTGGCGTGCATCACTTGAGAACTTTTGTAGACTCAAAATTTTACTCCTTCAGCTTTCCAGTAGCGTTGTCGGTCAAATTTTTGCTTGTGTATGCGAAGTGCAACTTCGCCTCTGTGTTTTTTTTTGTAAGCGGAAAATTGTCCGCGAGTTAGAAAATCTTTGCCGAGCTTCTGTTTCTCGGCTTTTTTGCCAGCTTTGTTGCAGCAGCACCAAGTTTGCTTAAAATTTGGGATTTTAAAACTCAAATTAAATAAAATTTCAATGTTTTCCGGTTTTGGGCAACTTATTGACTTCCAAGAAATTTGTTCATTTTTTGGTACTTTTCGATTTTTTTCATGCTGTTCAATAATATTTTTTGGAATTTGTTTTCTTGATAAATTCAAGGAGTGTTCTGTGCATTTGGTGCAGTGGTAACACCCATGCTTTAGACGACGAATTCAACAATATCGATTCCAGTCGGGACCTGTTTTTGTGGAAGCTGAAAATGTTCGAATATTTTA